TTTTGTTGAGGAAGAACCGCTATTTGGTTAGGTAATCCAGTTTAATTATAATTAGATAATCAATATGTGATTGTATATGTGTGTATATAAATGATAAGTAATTGATTATGATTCGGAATGATTAAATGCACGAAGTGTAGATATGAGAGATAATTAAAATGTATTGTTAATAAGTTGCTTAGATATTTTGGAATGAGAAAAAAATGCAAATTTTTTGGAAAACATTTCAAACTTAATCATTTCATTAAGGTAATGATATCATAAGTATTATAATTGGATGAAGAGAAGATGTCCTTGATTACTATCGATAGATTGATCTGATAATGAAAATATCAGTTATACACTCTTCCTGATATTATCATATGGATGTAAAATATTGATTTGTCTTAATGATTGAATGCTAATAAACTTTTATAAATTTGTAAATGATTTCAATAGATTTAACGTTCAATGTTTATTCTATGCAAAGAGTTAATTCAGACAGTGTCGTATTTTGTCAACGTGTCACCTCTTCAAATATGAATGAATAAAATTCTTAGAAATAGTTAGAATTTAAACAATTCCCATACGAGATTAGTCAATAATTCAAATAAGGAAGTTTATATTTCTGTTTTTCTTCCTTTTTTCCTTTTCTCTCTCCATGCAGTCATTTCTACATGAATTACTGGAATTCATGATAGATCAACTTTCTTACTTTTACTTTTTCACTTGTTTAATAGCATCTATTGAAATTTATTTGTCTAAAAGAAGAGAAGGGAGAGAGGGAGAAAGAGGGAGAGAGAAAGAGAGAGAAGAAGAAGAAGAGTATACAAATTTTGATGAAATGGAGAAGGAATTTTTCATTACTGAAATAATCTGTGCTTGATCATGGATGAAAAAGGAGATATCAATTCAGATAAGTTAACTCTTCAAGCTTTTCTTAATTATCAAATACTATCCAATCATGCAAATACTTGATGTCAAAATATTAAAGATCCATTTGAGAGAATGCACAAACGAAACATCCCATCATTGATTCGATTACTCAATAAGCTATTATTGGATAGTTTAAACCGCCTATTGAAAAATTTGAAATTTGAAGGAATTTATTTGAGGATGAATTTAATGATCAATGAACCTTAGCTTTTAGCGAGCTGTGGAAGAGGTATATCAACCGTTTCCATTTCCTTAAGTCGCTATTTAGTGGTGGTGCACACACACACACACACGCACGCACACACGCACACACACAGACACACACACAGACACACACACACACACACATACACACATACACATGTAAATGAATGAAGGATAGAAGAGTATGTGTAGACAGATGGGATGTTTGATTAGAAGCACTTTTTGATGTTGGCACATTCCACAGCTGCGGTTTTCGGCATTTTTTTGATTCGTATTGAGAAATATTATAGAAATAGTATATGAATATAACATCGATAGGAAGTTTTTGGTTGAGAATTTCTTCGAAAGAGGGAAATATGATAAGTGTGTCCCCATATGTCCCCAATGAATCTGATATTGAGCTATATAATTGCATTCAAGCGGACATCATATCATATCATAACCATATCAAAATTACATTCAAATATATTTTAAATTTTCATAGAGCATTAAACTTTCTGCTTAAAAAAATCGTTTATGCAAATATTTTTTGAAAGCTTATCAAAGATTATCACTGTTATTAGAGTTACATTATAAACTTCTTCACAACAAGTTAATGTTCATTCGATGACACTAAAATTAGGACTTGATATAAACTAATTAGAAACTAGTAAATTTCTAATTATTACTCAGTTTATCATTCCTACTAGCTCGAACATCTCTCTCTCTCTCTCTCTCTCTTTCGTGAATTCAGCTTATGTTATTTTTGACGCGCCATTCCGAAATTTACTTATTTCAATAGAACTGTAAATTATTGGAAATGAAGCTATCAGCTAGAGATATATGAAGTAATTCCGGAAAATCATTTGGATCAATTGAAAAACATATAATTACTATCGGTAACCAAATCACAAATTCCGGACAATAAAAAGACAACTTGCACATAAGCATTATTGGTATGCGAATGCGAATCGAAATCGGAAATCGGAAAAACAAGACAAGTGACACCGCGAAACTTCAGTAGGACTTTTCATCATTACAGTAATACAGGCACAAATGACTTCACTGATAGTTTATTACAGAATGGAAGATCATCATTTCTTTAAAAAAAAAAAAAATTAAAGTTAACTAGTTC